GTGACCCTATCCACCCTATTTAGCATTGTAACCCGCTACTCCATCCCCATGCACTCCTGATCCCCCTTACCCTACTCTACTTTTTCTTTTTTCCACAGTCCTTATCACTTCTAATATAATATATAATGTATTTATTATCTTTATTGTTTAATTTCTTGTCTCCTCCCGTGAAGCTGCAAATTCCACAAGGGATTATTTGGTTCACTGATATATCCTGCTTAGAACACTTAAATGTTGAATGGATGAATGAATGAATGAATTAGCCAGGTGGTCCCAAACCATATACTAAATCATCCACCCTTTCCTCACTGATTTGAAATGTCACCTTATCATACATCTGTTCTTGAATGCTTTGTTTCTTCCATCTGTTTGTCTATTCTGGCACCAATATCAAACTATTTTTAATTACTATGACTTTATATTTTGATTTCCTGGTGGTAATCTCTGATCTTAACATTACAATTCACTATTTGTTACTAATTTAAGCCTAAATCAACCATATATCCATTCATGTGACAAACATTTTTTGAGCATTTACTATGTGTCATGCACTGGAATTGAAAATATGCTGGCTGGGCCGGCCCCGTGGCTTGGTGGTTAAGTGAGCGCGCTCCACTGCTGGCGACCCGGGTTCGGATCCCGGGCTCGCACCGATGCGCTGCTTCTCCGGCCATGCTGAGGCCGCGTCCCACATACAGCAACTAGAAGGATGTGCAGCTATGACACACAACTATCTACTGGGGCTTTGGGGGGAAAAAATAAATAAATAAAATCTTTAAAAAAAAAAAAAAAGAAAATATGCTGGCTGGACTCAATTGTCCAAATATAAATTTAGTGAATTGAGGCCTAGACTCTGCTTGTTCAATTGGGTTTTTTGGAGGAAGGGTGATGGCAAAACTTTTTTTTCCTCTTAAGTATTGGTAAAGTTGCTGATATGTCCATAAACAAGAAAGATCAGCTTTACTAACTTTTTCTGAAAAAGTAAGTCTAAATATGAATCAGAGGTTGAGGCTCTAACAAAAAGCCTAAAAATGTGGACAAAGGCTAGGGAATGAAAAAGGCAGAATGTGATGTAATATTCTAAAAATCATTCCTACTACAATTTATTTCCTAACCTTTGTTTTCCAAAGGATACAGGGTAATCATGGTCCATTGTTGAGCAAAAGGGGATGAAGATCAGCTGGAAATTGCAATCAGGGAGAAGGTTCAGGCCTATTCCTTAAAGCTAGGAGTAATGCCAGGAAGTCTACAACCTTTACCCAGGTCAAGGCAGTTGAATTTTAAAAACTCTTAAGGAGGGGTGTCTTTAAAACTTGAATGTTCCCCTACACACACAGTAATTAAAGGAATTTTGACATGTGTTTGTACATAGTAGGTACAATAGTAATATTTAAATAGAATTTATTGGAGTGTCAGATTGGACCTCCATCCAACAAGTATTTTTGGAGCAACTACTAGGATAGAGAAGTGAACTAGACAGACACAATTCCTTCCCTCAGTCAAGGAATTGCCCTGTCCCAACCAAGGGCTTTATGTCATTGTCCAGGAAAGATAAGTGAGTAGTCTTATAACTAAACTATGGAATGACAGAACTCTTGTTTAACTACATAATTATTGACATCCTAGGAAATCTCATCCTACTCAAAAGCTGATTATAAGTTTCATAATTTCTGCTCTACATATTCTCCTTCTCTCCTTAAACATCAAGGCCAAATGTGATTAGCCAGGGTTCATGACCTACTTTGCCAACCTAATGCCATTTTACATCCCCTTTTTCATTACTGTAGTCAATAGGCTTAGTCTAGTTTTAACGTCATACTAGGCATTATTAGATGGTCCCTATGATTAAGAATTCACCTTCATAACTAGTTGTTCTTTTATTCACCAAAGTCTCCAAAGAGCACAGGTTTCTCTCACACAGGGAGAGAGTGGTTGGGTACATTTGGGGCTGCCATATGGGAGTGTCTTCCAGAAGACGTCATGTGGGATGGGTCCAAGAGTAGGCATGGGTTGCTTGAGGTTGGGTTTGGGATCACAAAATGCATATGGAATAAACCAGGACTTCAAGGTCTGAGATCACTGAAAGAGAAGACGAAGGCAATGTCTGGGCACCGGAACACAGCTGATACATGACAACTTCCTAACATCACTAAGGAGGATTAGAGCTGCAGAAAGATGAAAAATGGACATTCAGTGGTGAAACTCAGAAAGCACACAAGGAAGTGACAGCATTGGCTTTTGAAGAACAAATTGTGGTAGAATTGTTCTTAACCTTGTCTTCATATCCTCACTAGTATGATATACCATTTTTGAGACCCTGATGGAGTAGAGATTCAGGGTAGAGAAATTCTCTTTCTTTCTTAGCTAGTTTTTCTGGTCTAAAAAGAAGTACAATCACTAAACGAGGAAAAGGCCTTTCATGAACTCTCATACCTACCCCAGAGCTCCATACCAGAATTTTAGAACAAAAATATTCAGAGGTGAAATGGAGAAGCAAAAATTATTGTCTAACTTCAGTTCTTAATCTGGCCCGCATCTCCAACTGCTGCAGATTAATTAATGTTATGAAACTAGGATCCAGCACCAGTCCATACCAAGTGCTGCTCCAAAACCAGAAAGTAAATATTGCTGACAAAACTCCTAAGTGCTCTAATGAGTAGAGTTTGAGAAATGAATAATTCCTTAACTGAGTATGATGCATGGATAAGGTTAGAGGTGGAGGGCATGCTTAATCTGGTAATCACTTAAAGAAAATGTGGGTAATTTCTCTGCAGAGAACAAGCCCAATTACTCATAATGTGCCATACTGGGCAGTGCTCAAGAAAATAGGCACCACTGCACTAATTTAGGTCTGGCACACATCCACATTCTCTTGATGACCACCCGCACCAATGCCTGCGCCCCACCACCACCATCTTTCTTTTCCCCCAAAAGTAGGAAATAATAATAGTTGATGGCACCATCTAAGAGGTAGAATAATGGAAGATGTTCCTCGGGCTTTGGAGTCATTTCTAGGCTAGAATTCTGCTACTACTACGTGGCTGAGAACATTCGTTTCATCAATGTTCTGCTTTCATCTGCTCCTGAAATTGGAGATGGGCTGTGGTAAACTTGGAAACAGGAAATACAGAGCAGCCTTTTCCCTTTCTGATCATATTCCTGCCAGTTACCTAGCACCTAACACACTTATAGCCTTGCCAGAAGCCTAGGTGAAGCCCTTCGTTTCCCAGGACTCACTCATGACCGTAACTAACCACTTCCCCAGAAAGAGCTCTTGCAGTCTCAGGGAAACTGAACCCTTTATTCAGTTTGTCTTCTGGGAGCCTTCATCTAACAGAGCCAACATTGCCTCTCCATACACTTAGGTTTGTGTTTGTTACTCAGTTTTTATACTAATCACCTTTCACGTTCATTTATATGCAAAGTTGTTAATAAAAATATTTAGGGAAAAAAGATTGCGTGTCATACTAAGCCCATCAAGATATCAACGTTGATAGTACTTGTAGAATTTAGGTATTTGTAGACTCTTAAGATACTATTAAGGTTTCAAGGATCGAAGACTAACAAGAAATACTGAAATGGTACACTTAGTACCAGCAAAGCCACTACCTTTTGAGATGTAAATTTCACAAGGTACACACAATTTAGATGATAAATTAAAACTCAAATTTTAAGGATGAATACCTAAGATATTTCACTGATGTCATAAGCCTCACCAGGAAAGATGATCCATTTAAAGGGGATAATTGAGGAGAGTTTAATGAAGATACTAATAAGAAGGGGGTTAGCAGTGTTAAGGGAAACCAAGTCAAGATGGTGAAGTGGTGTCCAGATCTTTCTGCAATGATGGAAATGTTCTACGTCTGTATTGTCTAATACTGTAGCCATTAGCCACATCTGGCTATTGAGCACTTAAAATGTCGTTAAAGCAACTAAGCCACTGAATTTTTAATTTTATTTAATCTCAATTAATTTAAGTTTAAATAGCCACATGCGGCTAATGGTTACCATATTAGACACTGCAGCTCAGGTTTAGCAAAGAGCCATTACAACTCCTAAGCCTGAAGAGGTAAGAAGGAACAATTACTGGAACGTGGAGTGATGCAGAATTAGAGCTCTATCTTATAGCAGAGGACATGACAGGCGCTATGGCCTTTGACAGGAGAATGCGGCACTGCCGACTTGCAGACCGGCAGGGGAAACGCTGGGAATACCCTGACTCACTCTTCCTGCCCAACCACCCCCCTGTGGTACCTCCAACTGGTGGAACTCACCAGAAACTAGAGGACAAGAAAACTCGTTGATGCAGTCCATAAAGGGCACAGAACAGTGAAAGGTGGAGAGTAGATCTGGAGCAAGACATTATCATACCATGTACAAAATGAAATGAGGCATCAAACATTTGGTGTATTAGCACTTATAAATCTAAATAAATAGGGAACCAGTGGCAAAAAGTGGAACAAAAGCATGTTGTTCAATGAAGTCCTACAAATGTGTCTTATTAAAGCTATCCTAGAGTTCTCTGCTGCACTAAACAGCACAATGCTTTAATTGAATGGCAACTGGGTTCCTTTCAGGTTTCATATATGAAGAATGAGGTCAATACCATGTCCCTTCAACTATATTCAACCTAGTATTATTACCAAGGATCCGTGTGAAACTCTTTCCAAAGTACTCTCTCAAATCACAAAGACTGGGAGTGGGAAATTTTTCACTCGACTTATGCTAAAGATCATTGTAACTCAATAAATGGATAAACTTAAGATTAGAAAATGGGAGGAAGACCAATAAACTAGACACAAGGATCCAAAGGCCCTTAATTCCTACTGTAGGACTATATGACCCCTCTCTTCAGATAGGCCTACTTATTTTTATTTTCATACCATCTCTCTGAATGTTGGTATGTGTTTTAACAACCTCTTTCACTTTCCGCACTGGATAGAAATAGGAGGGGTAAGGAGGAAGTGGTAATATCTATAGCCAGAGTCAAATCCTCTTTGTGGAAACCTTTATTGTCTACTTTAGTGGGTCCTCAATATATCAAAGTCCAGTCCTTAATGTCTAGCACTTAAGGAGGACACGTCTAACATCACCGTATGGGGGTTGAAGTAGGTGCCAAAGGAAAAGCAGTTCCCACCACCTCCAAGGAGCAGCAGCTGTTGCTCTTCAGGAAGGAGGATGCTGGTATGGTTGTGTAACATTAGTGGCCATGGCACACATGTTGTGTCAATATGATACTCAGAGCTCAATCCTGTAGTCAAATCGATAACAGTCACTCCAGGAACTGACGAGGAATGAATCCAGACCCCTCCAACCAGTAGAAGCTTCCCATTGAGCACATGAGCTGTGTGGGAGTACCTTGGGGTAATGGGAGGCTGGACAACTATTGACTCCCAGAGGAATCCACAAGAGATTGGTTTCAGAAAGAGTACAGAGCTCAATGGCTCCTCAGAAGCACCCAGACCTCCAGCAATAAGGGCTCCCCCCTGCCAGCTGCAGGCACTGTGGGAATGCCGACCTTCAGGTGCCTCCCCCTCCACCGGGATCCGAACCCAAGCCATTGTTCCCACATGTAGAAAACGCCAGTCACTTAGTACAGGTTCCACCACACTTCGACCCCCATACACAAACAAATATTTCTGATTCTCAAAGGACACTTCTGTTGTTGAATGCCGCCAACATGACAAAGTGGAATCTTCTTCTGGGCCCACTTTTGTTACTGTTACACTTAGGTCCTCACTGCTATTATCCTCATTCTTACAAAAACAGAGTTGGAGAATCCCCACGGCTGGAGTTACTGGGGACAGTCTCCCTCCCAGAACCAGAACCTGAGTATCTGAAAGTCTTGTCGTAGTGTGATAAAGGCGTCCATCCCACTGAGCTCCAGTCCCCCAACTGCATACTTGGTTACCTATCCATTCGAAATCATAATATCTTGAGAGCAAGTGAAACTTGCTCACTCGGCAATGCCTCCCTTCCTGCTCTCCAAATCCCCCTGCACTGAGAATAATGCCCGGGCTCAAAAGGACAGAGGTGTGGCCATATCTCTTAACGTCTGGGCCCTGGCTGTCACTAGTGACTACCATGGCAGGGAAGACTCCTGAAGCGGATGCAGGATCTACCCGAGGAAACGCCTCTGAAGGTGGCAACACCAGAGTTTGGGAGAGAGTGTCTCCCCTAGAAGCAGCCAGAATGAAATAGTGGGCGCACTTCAGATGCCACTCTTCAAACTCGTCAAAAGGTTCAAGACTTTCCATGCGCCGGCGTTCTTCTGCGGGGAGAAAGCAGCGATAGAATTCATTCATGTCCATGGCATTGCAGGCAGTCCAGCCAGCCTGAAGGAAGCGGTGCTGCTGGGCCTCCACGTCGGGAAAGCGGTCCAGGCCATACAAAGGGGAATTTAGCTGCCGAAAATGTTGCAGCATGAACTGGCCAAAGGCGTCATGCGGCCTCATCTGCTCGTAGATCACGAAAAGGGCATTAGGAAAACGCTGGGCTGCCCAGGCGATGAGCGCCGCGGCATTATCCGGCTCCAGGTAGGTCAGCACGGCCTCAGCCAGGAGCAGAGTCGGTGCGGCTGCGTCAAGGCCCGCGGCGGCCAGGGCCTGGTCCAACCGCTGGAGCTGCCGCAGGTCCAGGCCCAGGATGCAGTAGTCCAAGCTCTCAAAGCACAGCGCTGACGCGGGATCCCCACTGTGGAAAGGCCCGGTTAACGCGCACAGTTCCGGAGTATCTCGAATCCTCTCCGCTTTGCGCCGCGCCACGTCGGGAAAATCTACCTCCCAGACTGCAGCCCCAACCAGGAGGCGGGCAGTTTTGAGGCGGAAATACAGCGAATCCGAGCCGGCCCCCAGCGACAAGATCTGAGCGCGAGGGGCGCCCGGGGCCGCGCACGTCCGCTCCAGAAAGGCGCGCACGCAGTGCCGCACGGCGCGTGCGCGGACGTAGTAGCCTCGGTGGATGAGCGGCGCCCGGCGCGCGGTCCCCGGAACTAGGAACGCCGCGAAGGCGTCGTGCACGTACCCGCGCGCGGCCAGGGAACTCTTGCTGAGGGCGCTGCTGTCATTGGTGCTCTGTACTGCCCCCGCGCGACGCTCACGGCTCCGCGGGCCCATGGCCAGGAGAGACTCAGGAGCGGCGGTCCGTCACGGTGGTGAGCTGCTCTCTCTTTCTCTAGTACCCACCTTCCACACTTCCATAGGAAAAATCACCCCCGCTCAGTAACTCCTCTTCCGCGGACAAATGTGCGTCACTTCCGGGCGGAGCGCACTTCGCCAATCAGAATTGAGGAGGGTGTAGCTTGTGCCACAATTCGACTGTGATTGACTTTGATTCTCCGGGACTGCGTTTTCGCGGGAAGACTGCCCGCTACGGTTTATTGTGGACGCGTGGACTGTGTCAGGGAAGCGTGGGTTGTCACTTTTCTACAAGCTTTTCCGTCTGAAGGGAAAATTTATCTACGTTCTCACAGTTGACCCAACCGTTGATAAAAATCTTTAAGAGGTGAGTCTGTGGGGACTGCCAACCAGACCTCCTTGGACGGAGTCTGGTAGGGCAAAGCAGGGTTAGGACCACTGACCTTGGTGGGCAAGGAGAAGGTGTCGTTCCTCGGATGCTAATTACTAGTACTTACTAATTTATTTAATACTTTCATCGTTGCAAAAGAGATCTTATTTAAATCTGGAAACAAGTCATTGAGGCTAGGTGCAAAGTGAAGATACCTTTACAGAGGTGGTGATTCACCCGATAAATGTGTCCCCACAGATATATACTATTATTTCCCTTGTATTCTCGGCTCTGTGGTAAGCTGACAATAAGTAAACCACTCAGCCTCTGTTTCTCAGCTATAAAATGACATTCCCCTCCACTCTCAGAGTTCTGTGATTCTAGGGTAGTGTTGAATGTGCCCGCGGAGGAGGGAATCACGGGAGAGAGGTGGTTATTCCCCCTGATATGGTCTGAGTCGTGTTGGGGGTTTGAGATAACCATAAAATTTCTGAATTGGGTGTTTGAGAGTCATCACCAGTAGGAAACCGCTTTCAGAGATATTTAGGAGATTTTTAATTTATTAATTGGGATTTGGTCACTGGCTGGGGGTGCTGAGATGGAGAAGGAAATCAGGATGACTATGACTTGAAGCAGTATAGCATATGGTTAAGACCGTGAGTTTTGGAATCCAGCCAGTTTGGATACTGGAACTCAAAAGTTTGAGTCAGGATAAGGGTTTGGTAATTGAAAAGTGTCGTTCGGGTTTGGTGTTGAACAGCTCTTAATGACCTTAGGGAGAGCAATTTCTGTGGAGCAATAAGGGCAGAATCCATGGTTCAGTGATTGGGAGATAAGTAAATGGAGGCAACCAGTCTAAATTATGCTTTAAAGGAGCTTAGCTCAAAAGGAAAGAAAAGACAGGGCAGTAGCTAAAGAAAAATGTGGGATAAAAGAAAATTTTTTGTTTTTTAAATGTAAGCAGATACTGTACGTGCATTTTGGTCCCCTGAGAGAAATTAGCCAGTGGAGAGAGAGATTGGAGGAACAGAAAAGTGAGATTAGGGGCCAGCCCAGTGGCGTAGCGGTTAAATTTGCATGCTCTGCTTGGGCCGCCCGGGTTTGGAACCCCGGGCGCAGACCCATGCATTGCTGCTTATCAAGCCATGCTGTGGCAGCGTCCCATATAAAGTAGAGGAAGATGGGCATGTATGTTAGCCAAGGGCCAGTCTTCCTCAGCAAAAAAAAAAAAAAAAAAAGAGGAGGATTTGCAACGGATGTTAGCTCAGGGCTAATCTTCCTCACAAAAAAAAAAAAAGAAAGAGAAGTGAGATTAACTGCTGGAGTAATGACTTGGAGTAGATAGGAAGGAATGGGATCCTGGACATAAATTAGTCTTGGGGACAGGAGAATGAATCCTTTTTCTCTGATTCATGAAGGAAGAAAGGGTATAGATAAAGATAAGTTTAAGTGTGGGCGAGGACAGAGAGAAATAGAGGAAATTCATGCCTGATGGCTTTTGTTGTCTCTGTAAAGCTGGTCGCTGGGTTGTCAGTTCAGTATGGGGCGGTTAGGTGTGGTGGAACACTTGAGGAGTTTGGAATTGCCTCTGAAGGGAATGGGAGAAGGACTCCCTTGAGCTTCCTGGGCCTTAGGATCCTCGTCTCTAAAATGAGAGGAGTAAGTGCTGCTTTGTGAGGCGTCTCAAGGTTGATTGAGGGCTAAAGAGGAAAAAAGAAAGAGTTGTGTTGTAGGACTTGGAAAAAAACATAGCGCTGTAGAAATGAATTTTTTAGTGACAAATTAGTAAAATGTACATGATATGTTAGAAATATTACTTTTTTGGTAAAGAGCAGATCAAAGAAAAGTGATTCAAGAAGAAAGAGAATGGAGCAAAACTTGTGATTTGGGTGCCTTATGATTGTTTTCTGGTTATTATTTTTTTAATCTGTTTATTCTTATGTAAAATGGGGATAATAGTGCCTGATGGGTTGTTGTGAGGATTAAGTAAAATAACCCTCTAAGACACTTAGCACAGTGCCCGGCTCATAGTAAGTGCTTAATGAATAGTAACAAATGTTTTTATTATTCTGAGTTTCCTTTTTTGGGGGGGCATGAAAAAAGTTCTTTGAGAGACAGGAGACTTGGTGCTGGATCTGCTCTAACTTGGTGAAATATTAGTACAAATGTAGAAAGCTCTTATCTCAATATTTTGCCTTTCGGCTTCTCACTCCCACCCCAGCTTCTCCTGACCCAGGCCAAACCCAGCCCTGGAAGGTGGAATTTGGCAGGGCCTGGTATTATTGGTAGCAGTATCCTAGGCAAGCATCAGTAAAACAACAATTTTTTTCTTGACGTGTAAAGATTGTGCTTGTTTTGATGGCTTTCTAATTTCCATAGGTTAACGTTGTAGCCAATGGGTCAGTAAATTTGCTCACGACTGGTTAAAGGTCCACCGGAAGGGTGGTTTGAATGTGGCACAAAATAAGGTCAGGATCCTGGCGTAGCATTGAAAATGTTTATGAAAAGCTAACCATCTGGGGCCAGCCCGGTGGTGCAAGCGGTTAAGTGCACGCATTCCGCTGCGGCGGCCCAGGGTTCACCAGTTCGTATCTCAGGCGCGCATGGACGCACCGCTTGTCAAGCCGTGCTGGGACGGTGTCCCATATAAAGTAGAGGAAGATGGGCGTGGATGTTAGGCCAGGGCCGATCTTCCTCACAAAAAAAAAAAAAAAAGCTAGCCATCTGTCAAATTTGTTACCAGCCTGTTACATAAAATGCCCTAAGCGCTTTTTCAGGCTGTCATTCTATTGTTCAAACATAAAAGTTCTTTCCTCTCACGGTTCATAATAATAAAACTATTTTGCAAGATTTAAAAAAAAAATTTAATTGTTTATAAACAATTATTTTATTTGTATATATTGCAAGATGATCACCACAGTAAGTCTAGTTAATATCCATCACCATACATAGTTACAAAATTTTTTGTTGTGATGAGAACTTTTAAGATTTACTCTCTTAGCAACTTTCAAATATGCAATACAGTATTATTAACTATAGTCACCATGTTATATGTTACATCCCCATGACTTATTTATTTTATAACTTATAACTGGATTTATAAGTTGTGTATATAAAATATATATTTCTATATAAAATATATAACATTTATTTTATAAGTTACAACTGGAAATTTATACCTTTTGACCCCCCTAACCCATCCCCCCCTGCCCTCTTCTCTATATTTATTATCTATATCTAAGAACTTGGGGGGTTTTTTTGGTTTTTTTTTTTTCAGATTCCACATATAAGTGAGATCATATGCTATTTGTCTTTGTCTGATTTATTTTTGGCTCAAAACCTTGGGAGTTCCCTGGGTGAAATTTGAAACTAGCCCCTGTACATGGTGGGCAAGGAGGGCAAAGAGAGATGGAAGAAAGAGGCAGACCACTCCAGATTCGTAGGTGGCAGGTTTAATATGGAATGGAACTTACATATGAGGCTTGTCTTGGGTGGTGGCAAGGTGAGTAGATCTCTGAACCTGCCTGCCAGAATCTTAAAAGTTTATATAGGGGCCTTAATGGGGTTCAGTCATATACACAGTCCAGATGGTCTCAACAACACATTACAGTCATGTGACACATTACGGACATTTCAGTCAACCAAGGACCACATATACACCTGTGGTCCCATAAGATTAGTATCATATAGTCTAGGTGTGTAGTAGGCTATACCATCTAGGTTTGTGTAAGTATGCTCTGTGATGTTCACACAATGACAAAATCGCCTAACCATGCATTTCTCAGAACATATCCTGATTGTTTTGTGAAGCATGACCATCTCTCTTAAGGCTGTGTCCTTGAAACAGCTTCTAGTTGTGGGAATGGTAGGCAGAATGTAAATTCCAAGGACAGAGGAGGGGCGGGTAAGGAGCCTCTGATTGCCTGGGTCCAGCTCTTGAGTCAGCCAATGGTCACATCCTCTTGATGACCTCGTCCAATACTTATTAATTATTTTTAAATAATTTAGTATTGTAAATTTTAATTTATTAAAATTATTAATAAATTATTTATTAATTTTTTCCAAATTTTATTGAGAAATAATTGACATCACTGTGTAAGTTTAAGGTGTACAGCAGGATGATTTGATTTACATATATTGTAAATTGAAATGATTACCACAATAGGTTTAATTAACATTCATCATCTCGGGGCCGGCCTCGTGGCGCAAGCCGTTAAGTGCGTGCGTGCGCTCTGCTTCGGTGGCCTGGCGTTCGCAGGTTCAGATCCCAGGCATGCACTGACACACTGCTTGTCAAGCCATGCTGTGTTGGCCTCCCATGTAAAGTGGAGGAAGATGGGCATGGATGTTAGCCCAGGGCCAGTCTTCCTCAGAAAAAAGAGGAGGATTGGCATCGGATGTTAACTCAGGGCTAATCTTCCTCAAAAAATAAATAAATAAATAAAAGGGAAAAAAAAATTCATCATCTCATATAGATACAATAAAAAGAAAAGAAAATTTCTCCTTTTGATTAGAATTCTTGGGATCTACTCTCTTAACAACTTCCCTATATATCATACAGCAGTGTTAACTATAGTTATCATCTTGTACATTACATCCCTAGTACTTATCTTATAACTGGAAGTTTGTGCCCTTTGACCACCTTCCTCCAGTTCCCCCTCCCCCTACTCCCTACCTCTGGTAACCACAAACCTGATCCCTTTTTCTCTGAGTTTGGTGGGGTTTTTTGTTTTTTGGTTTGGTTTGGTTTTTTTTTTAGATTCCACATATAAGTGAGGTCATACCCTATATGTCTTTCTCTGTCTGACTTCTTTCACTTAGCATAACGCCTTCAGGGTCCATCCATGTTGTCACAAATGGTAGGATTTCTTATTTTTTATGGCTGAATAATGTTCCATTGTGTGTATGTGTGTGTGTGTATATATATTACACACATATACCACAACTTCTTTATCCATTCATCCATCGATGGACATTTAGGTTGTTTCCGTATCTTG